GGACTAGTGAACATAAAGGTCTTTGACCAAAGCTGGCATACAATAAGCACAAAAAGTGTTAGTATTATTACTGTTCCAGTTCAGATATTTCATGATTGCAGTCTTATTCTGGATATTGAAACTCATTCCATGCTTGAACCCAACATTGTAAAAAGTCCAGTTCTAAGGGAAAAAGTCACAGCTGCCAACAATTATTGGGCATAGTGAGAATTTTAAATGAGGAATTTCTCTTCTTCCATTGATTATCAACTGAGGTCATAGTTTTACTGAAGGAATTTTTATACTGGCTGATATGGTTTGGCTCTGTGTCCCCACCCAAATTTCACCTTGAATTATAATAATCCCCAGGTGTCACGGGAGGGATCCAGTGGGAAGTAATTGAATCATGGGGGCAGATCTTTCCCGTGCTGTTCTCGTGATAGTGAACAAGTCTCATGAGATCTGATGGTTTTATAAAAGGGAGTTTCCCTGCATATGCTCTCTTGCCCACCACCATGTAAGACATGAGTTTGCTCCTCCTTTGACTTCCTACCTCCTTTGCCATGATTGCGAGGCCTCCCCAGCCATGTGGAATTGTGAGTCCATTAAACCTCTTTTTCTTTATAAATCACCCAGTCTTGGGCATGTCTTTATTAGCAGTAGGAAACGGATTAATACACTAGCTTTCCGAGTCTTTGACTGCATTGGATACCACTCAGAACAACATGCATTTAATTTTAATTCCTGTGATGTTTACATCATGATGTCAGGAGCTAAAGATAAAGTATATCTGCACTCACATACACCAAAATAGATCTGAGAATGGCTTTCTGTTTCATGCATACAAAAAAGCCAACATGCCTAGATATGAAATTATTTAATCACATATTTTCCCTCAGACCTGCACACTAAGTTTCACTATCTTCAGAAATTTTGTACAAAACAAAAGTTTGATGCTCATCTGGTTTTTTTTAATCCTTTATACATTGTAACTATTTCTTTTTTTTTACCCAAATGCTGATAGGATTACTTTCTCAATCTTTTAAAGTTTTTTAGCATGTCTATTTTTGCTCTGCAGGGGAAGAGGGAATCATTGAGTATGATCCTGTGACTATCCAAGTTAAAAAGATTTTCTTCCATCATGTCTTGAATTGTTGACTTTATGCCAATTAGTCTTCTTTTTTCCTGAGAAACACCATAGTTGTTGGGTTTACTTTCTATTCTCTCTTTATATCTACCAACTTCTCTCTTATTATTTCCCATACATTCTAAGAGACACACTAAATACACCCTATTCATCACTAACTAAAGTTTCCAGTGTCTCAGTTTTGCTTCTTTATTGCCTTTAAAGTCTATTTAAATTCTTCTATTGCATCTATTGCACTTTTTCATTCCCTAGTGGTCTGTTTTTATCTCATTTAGCTTTTTCACATCTTATCAGAGTTTATCTTCGCAGCATTGCACTCCTATTCCATAGATTTTGTGTCTTCTTAAATCCTATTAATTATGCCCAAAAGCTTTCTAAAAGTTTCTTCCAGTTCTTGCTGTATATCATTTTATGAAGTCAGCCTCTCTCTCTCCCTCCCTCCCTCTTGCTCTCTCTCTCATTTATAACATGATATATCTCTTCTTATTCAGCACTTATTTTTTTCATACCTTATACTTTTGTCTCCACTTATTTAATCTTGAACACGGAATGATCTGTTCAGAACTTATGTGTGTCAACAAGCGGTGTGCGAATTTCTCAGCCCCACTGTTGTGCACTGGGTTGCTTTTCAAATCCTCTTCACCTATCTGTAGCTAAAGCTTTGTTGATGCATATGAAGGAAAACATTATTTAAATGGAAAATTTATTGCATTAGAATATGAGCATTTATAAATTAAATATTAAGGATATATTATGCTTCATATAAACACTGTGAATAGAGTTACTTAATATGCTTAATACATATATTAATATGCTTAATATACTTAAGTATGCACATTTGGGGATATTTTCTATTTTTATTGGGTAAAAAGAGGATTTGGATTCTTTTAATTGAGTAAGGAGAAAATAAAACGGATTTGGGAAACTAAGAATGCCAGATGAGTGGTGTGGATCAAGAACACATCTGGAATTGGCATTCAAGTGTGGAGCAAAGAAATCCACTGAGACAACTGCACAAGCTTCCTCACCCTGCTGGTCCAATTTGGACCTCCGCCTCGGGTTAATGACACTGTAATTTTTAAAAATACCAGCATGCAAAAGCTGTAAACAGCAATTAGGAATGAAGCAACACATGTTCTGGCTTGTCCCAGCTCAAGGAAAAAACTACAGAGGAGTTTGAGAAGTATGCACTAGACAGTGTATGAAATTCTAAGGAGGACTTGAAATGCAATTGAACATACAGATTCTGGATGTATTAGGGAGCCTGTGGAGTACTATATGTCCATGTGTCTCTTACCAGAATATTTACAGTCAGCATAAGCGAAACAATTGTCTTTGAATCTATATTACCTCATCTGTTCTACCTGTCAACATTGCTATGCGGAGGAAACCTTAAACTGAGGAAGTGGGGAGTTCATTTTCTTGTTGATTTAAAATCATTCTCTGGTTGGCTTTCCAGCAATTATATCGGCCTACCAACTTGTATGTTCTTTCTACCCCTGGGCACCATATTGCTGGGTCAATCTTGCTGGTGCAAGAAAAATGAAGAGTCAAGATCTCCCTGTTTGGAGCATAATTTCCAGTGTCTGAAAGGGTTCCATCTAGTGTAATTCTGCTGGGCTCAGGTAAATCTTCTCCTCCTTGTATGGCCTGGGTCTGGGACACTTTAAACAGACAGCGTAGATAAAATATCCAAGAACACTGCCACCAAGGCTCTTCCTGTCCTTGGCTTCACCAAAAGTATTTTATTTCTGATGACTAAACTGCCTAGGATGAAAGGAACAAATGCCTGTCCTCACCTTCTTCCAAATCATAATTGGGAGGTCATTCAGTCTTCAAACGGCTGCAGAAAAAAAAACAAAAAAACAAAAAAAAAACTAACTTGTAAGAAAGACAGAGGGTAAAGGACAGCAGCAAGTACAAAGTAAAGAGATAGACGTCCAAAATTCAAGTTGGGAGACAGCTTATGTTTCTGAACTCAGAGGAAGGCAGCAATGGGAGGAAACAGGTAGACTACTCACTGGCAATGAGATGCTGATGACCCCTCAACAATGCCTCACGGCCCAGACTCGTTAACTTGTACTCAGCAGGGACCGGGTGTGGTGGCTCAAGCCTGTAATCCCAGCACTTTGGGAGGCCAAGGCAGGTGGATCACTTGAGGTCAGGAGTTCGAGACCAGCCTGGCCAACATGATGAAACCCCGTCTCTACTAAAAATACAAACATTAGCCAGGCGTGGTGGCAGGCGCCAGTAATCCCAGCTACTCGGGAGGCTGAGGCTTCAGAATCACTTGAACCCAGGAGGCAGAGGTTGCAGTGAGCCAAGATTGCACCATTGCACTCCAGCCTGGGCAACAGTGCAAGACTCCATCTCAAAGAAAAAAAAAGGAAAAACTTGTAGTCAGTAGAAATTTCTTCTATATTCTGATGATCAGCTGGCTATCACTCCAGTTTTAGCATTGTCAGTTTTCATCTATTTTATATGCCTTCATAGGGTAATTATGATGGAAAGCTGGGAGAAACTATTACTGGGGCAAAATGTATTTTTTCCTGTGTAACTGAAATGAATTGTTAGTTTCATAGATTACGTATTTTTATATTTTTGGATGAAACAGTTTGAAGTTAGATTCATATCCCTGAAAAAATCAGTTGGCAACACATCGTACATATTTTAACTAATAATAAAAGTGCTTTATTCATTCAGAAGAAACTTTTTAATACATCAAAAGTTAGTAAAGAATGTTTATGATTTACATAAAAATCTAAGATTCTTAATTTTCCTCATTATTGTAAATAGATACATTCTCCCTCTCATGCTTTAAAATATGAGAAATCCCGATATAAATGAAAAAAAAAAGTGTTTACCAAGTAAAAGAATAAGAACAAAAGAAATGCCGGGCAATGCAGGCTTATATACAGGTCATGGTTTCCAGCTCAGTGTCTGGCAATGATGCCAAGTCAAACATGGAAACAGACCCCAAAATGTCAACCCCAAAAGGAACCACAGGGGACATGAAGTTTTTGGTTATCTGAAATAAATGTGACCCATGGGACATGCATTCTGGAAAAGGCACTGACTCAAACTGCCTCAGTTACCAACAACGAATTGTTTTAGGTCATGAGCTTCAACAATGAGAGGGTTGTATGGAGAATGTGGAACTTGTCTCTCAGAGCACAAAGAAATTACTGGGGTAGGTGAGAAAAGGGAGAGGAGGCTAGCCTGGGAGCAGGTGTGGTTCACCTGCCTTCTCCCACAAAAAACTGCTGCGGCCACACTGAATGACTTGGTGGCAGCTGGGAGGAGAACAGCCACAAGGTGGGCCAAGGAAACTGAGCCACAAGCAAGACCTGAAACCCACCTCGCTAGGAAAGAGACTGACTCCAAAGAGATGTGAGTCAGACATGTCAGTGGTCACGGCAGAACATTCAGCTAAGACAGAAATGAGGAACTCACATTACCACACCAGAGAACAGAGTTCCTAAGTCCGCGAGTAGGAACACTCAGGGGTCAGGGCTTCAGTAGACTAGAACTTGAGATGAACCCAATGGCCTTCTTGACAAGGATTTCAGGTTTTGTTTTGGCTTTTTGGGTTTTTTGTTTGTTTTGTTTTTTTTTTGTTTGTTTTTTTTTTTGTTTGTTTGTTTTTTGAGGCAGGGTCTCGCTCTGTCACCCAGGCTGGAGTGCAGTGGCGCCATCTCAGCTTACTGCAGCGCCCACGCCCTGGGCTCAAGTGATCTTCCCACCTCAGCCTCCCAAGTGGCTGGGACTACAGGTGCACGCCACCACACCCAGCTAATTTCTGTATTTTTTGTAGAGTCAGGGTCTCAATATGTTGCCCAGGCTGGTCTTGAACTCCTGGACTCAAGTGATCCACCTGACTTGGCCTCCCAAGAAGTGCTGGGATTACAGGCATGAGCCACCATGCCCAGCCAACAAGCATTTCTATGGACACCATGCCCAGGCTCAAGCCTGTTCTCACCATGTGGCCTGGAATGAGACCTCTGGGAAGACACAAAAGTCCACCTGGCCAGAAGGCAGAGAGAGGAGCACAAGGAGGCCAGCCATCCACAATGGCAGCAGCATTCCTCTCCACACCTGCCTGTGCTGGGTGTGTAAGAGGAACTAGCCACAGGTGGGAATTCTTGGAGCTAGTGGGAGGAGAGACAGAGGGAAGTGTTTGATGATAATGTTGGGGGACCCAACAAGGAAAACTGAGATAAACCTCCTCTAAATCCACTAGCCACTTTCCTGGGTCAGTATCAAAATCACAAGACAAATATCATTCCCCTGCTCTGTGCGAAGTGAGTGCTGGTTGGGGGCATTCATATGTCTTTGAGCTATCACTTAAATACACCCAAGCCCTACCTTCTCCTAGGTGAAAAGACCTCACAGGACATCTTCCATGCAGTAGCTGTCAAAGGAAGAAACAGGGCATCTTGCCCAGTGATGACCACAATCATAACTACCCCAGAAAGAGAGCTGAGTTTCCAAACATATTCCAGTCACACATGTTCTCTTGCTGCCCATGTTAAAGTGGCTTCTGAGTTTGCTATCTCTTAGAAATGGTCTAATGACCTGAACTTTTAGGATTCCTTCGAAAGGAGGTAGGTACTGTTCTGAATTGTGTTGACCTTCAGGTCACAGAGGGTGAATCTATACGCTTGAAAGTTTAGGGTAGAGAACAATAGCCCTTCAATACTAACAGACTCAGACGAAAATAAGCTACAGGGTGAAGGAAAGATGAAGATAAGCACAGGCTGATGGCTGGAGGATGAAGGGGATGCTTTAGATATTACCAAAAACTCAAATGCCCATCTTATGCCAGGGGAAGATTGTACTGACATTTTCCTCCAGCTCTAAAGTACTAGACAATGCTTCCCTTTTAAGGAGAGCAGACCCTGCCATAAAAGAGAATGGTTTGGGTTTTGTTGTGTCTAATGAAAAAGAGAAAAGGGTGGTTGGCATTAAACTCCACCCAAGATGGTAGTGACCTTTCCGAGACAACAGCCCCAGTGGCTGCAGCTGCCTGGGTGCCATCTTCATCTACCTCCACAAAGGTTTTGTGGATGATTTTTGACAAGTACAAATTGGGACTTGGAGAGATTCCGGTAAGATCAGCCCTCGTTTCATCAAAGATATCTGTAATGCCCATGTCTTGTAAAATGGAATTGAGATCATAGCTGTCTTCCAGGGTGAACCGGGGGAAGGACAGGACCACCGATTCTTCTGACATGTTTTCTGAGCTGCTCCAGGCCACTATGTTTTCATAGGTGATTTTCCCTTCAAGCTACAAGAGAAAGGAAATAATATTTAGCGTCAGATTATGGGACCGCAAAGAATGCCCCAATTACTTAAAGGTGCCTGAGTCCATTTCAGTGGTGGGTGACGACCTTCAAGGCCTTCCTCTAAGCCAGAGAATAGTCTGATTTCATTTAAAACTTCAAGCAAATATCTTTCCTCTTTGCAAAGAGTTAGGGGACAACTCAGGTTCCAGTGTGCTTTGGTGTTTGACAGACAAATGTTCAAAGCACAGCAAAGCTCAGTCGATTAGTTGGGTGCTGTGGCCAAGCCCTAATTTTCTGAAGTTAAATTTCCTCTTCCATAAAACAGAGATAATACGATTATGTTCTTGCAAGCATTAACGAAATCATGTGTATAAAGTACTTAACACAGTGATAGCGCATAGCAAATTCTGAATAATGGTTGTTACTGATGTTGTAATTACTCTGCCTGCTATATTGGTATTTCTCTCACTTTCTCTCTGTTTCTATCTTTATCTCTTTACCCCCTTGGACAAAATCTGTAGCTGAGCTTCTCCAGCCTTTATTAATTCCTGCCTGGCAAGCAATCAATTCTGGGGTCACCTCTACGCTTCTGTCAAGGTACCTATTCCCCAAAACAGGATTCAGTTAATTCTTTAGCTGAGTTATAGAAAAATGGCATGAGTAAGAGGCCAGAAGTCAAGATATTCAGAGAAAAGGAAAAGCTTAAAAACTTCTCAAGTTACTCAGAACCCAGATTCCTCAGTTTGCTAAAACAGTGGCAAAGAGCTATGAGGTTAAAGAAGAAACCCCAGTCCCAATATTTCTGGCTTTTGTTGTTTACTTTAAACAAATGAGGATAAATATCTAATCTAATGCAGATTCTTATACATTCCTTGATGTCTGACAGCTGAGGTACTGTATTTCCTCAAGATGGTCGGTGGTAGACAGCGTTGTTCTCTAAGGATCTATCATTGAATATTTTGTAGAGATGTGGAAATGAAGATTTACCTCTTCCAGAGCCTTCAGGTTATCTTTAGAGTGAGACGGCAGCAGGACGAACATGCTGAGCTTCCCCTTGGTGTACCTCATTTCCAGGATCTGTGCCTTCACCTCCTCTATGAAGCCAATTCTGTAGAGGCCTTTTTGCGTCATCATTTTCACACTCTTGTTTTCATTCTGTAGTAGTCAAGGTAGGAAGTCACAGGATGGCTATGGGAAGCTCCCAAATTCATATGGTCCCAGCTTCACTGAGGACAGGGGTTCCTAAAGATGAGAAGGTCCTGCAGAAGTCCTGAGCCACACCAGGGATCCAGACTGCAAGACTCTGCCCACTCATCAGTGGCCCTTACTTTGCCAACACTTTATCTTTCAGTGTCTTTTTTTGTTGTGGAGTGACGGGGGTTGGGGGGGCGGTGTTTGCTTGTTTGTTTTTGAGACAGGGTCTTGCTCTGTCACCTAGGCTAGAGTGCAGTTGTGCCCTCCCAGGCTCAGGCAATCCTCCCACCTCAGCTTCCTGAGTAGCTGGGGCCACAGGCACGGACCACCATACCTGGCTATTTTTTTTTTTTATTTTTTGTAGAGACAGGGTCTCCCTGTGTTGCCCAGGCTAGGCTCAAACTCCTAGTCTCAAGTGATTCTCCCTCCTCAGCCTCCCAAAATGCTGGGATTACGTGCATGAGCCACCTCACCTGGCCCTTTCCATGTTTTTTAATCAGTTCTTCAGCTCCCAAGAAGACTATTGGTAAACTTACTATCAAAGCATCTCCACTGTTAAGTCAGCAGAAACACGCCCTGCCAGCTGTCCCACTGTAGGGCCTGCCCCAGCCCAGCCTCTTGGCCTCACACTACTCCACGCCAGCTGGCCTGGATGACCCCACCACAGCACCAAGGGCAGCCATCGTTAAGTGCGAATCATCTCCATCTTAAATAACAACACCTGCTCCTGGGAAGGCACAACCCCAGGCACCTTAAATCTCACAATAACCTCAAGGTGGCGGGTGAGGGATCGTCAACCTGCAGATGGGGATATTCAGTGCTTGAGAGAAAAATGCATCTCCGGTAATAAGCTAGCCGGCCGACAAGTGGGTGGCTGGGACCCAACCCTTCGTTTCTAAATCTACTATCTTAGAACACAGGTTTCTGGGGCAAATGCTCACAGATTGAATCCTAATGCATGAATCTGGCTAACTAACTTAGCCTTTCCATCTTTTGTCTCAACTCCTAAGTGGAAATCATAATAGCACCCATCTCATAACGCTCTTTGGGGGAACAAATGAAACAACAAATGGAAAACTACTCAGTGCAGGAAGCACTTGGCACAAAAACACTCAGTGAAATTCAGGTACTGGTTCTTATCAATGAAAAATGTTCTTATTGTAAATGTAGGCTGTAACTTTCTGAGTATACATATTGCACATCATTCCTAGTGCAAATGATGAGTTGGATAGCTAGAAAACCGTGAGTTCTGATACAGTACCTCATTTAGACAGAAAGGTGCATCCACTGTGTTCTCATGATCAAAATAATTTTCCCATTTGGCCTTGAAGTAAACAGCATTCACCAGGACCAGCACAGTCTCAGCATTAATAGTGTCCTTGCTGAAGAGTTCCTTGATTTTACCTAAGAAAAGATCCCAGAGAATATCCTGAGTATGAATTACATCAAAAGTATTTGTATAGATAATTTTCATTTTTTTGAGACAGAGTTTCACTCTTGTCTCCCAGGCTGGAGTGCAGTGGCGTGATCCCTGCTCACTGCAACCTCCGCCTTCTCAGCTCAAGCGATTCTCCTGCCTCAGCCTCCAGAGTAGCTGGGATTACAGGCACACACCACCATGCCTGGCTGATTTTTTTATTTTTAGTAGAGACGGGGTTTTGCCATCTTGGCCAGGCTGGTCTTGAACTCCGGACGTCAGGTGATCTGCCGGTCTCAGCCTCCCAAAGTGCTGGGATTACGGGCGTGAGCCACTGTGCCGGGCCGATAATTTTTTTTAATGCAGCTTATCACCCCCAAGACTAGGGAGTGTCTCATTCAAGAACTAACCCAAGAAGATTAATTCACAGACCTGGCTGGAGGTAAGAGAGGCAGTGATAGGGCAGGGGAGAAACCCTCTCACTCGACCTGGCAGGAGGTCCAATCACAGCACTGTAACAGAAGGAATCTCCTTTGATTCCCTGTATTGCTTGTGTTTGGAACTTATCAGTAGACATCTTATACTATGGTTTATCTTTCAAATTATATAGTTAGTCATCTGACAATATGATAAGCTCCCTTGAGAACAAAGAACTACAATATAAACTTCCTGTCTCAAGCACTCAACATAGCATAAGATATATGCTTACATATAAATAAAAATACACATAAATGTGCTAGGCCATGATATGAAACCTATTTTATAGATACTTTTACATGCTCTTTCTCATTCCATCCCACATTAATCAATTAATTGATCCATACCACTATAAGGAGGTATCGTTATCCCTTCTTCATAGAAGAATCGATTGCATCCAGGGAGAGCTGAAGTCACACAGCCAAGAAGCAGTAAGACTGGTGGGAATGGGTCCTCAGGCGTTCCACCTTTAAGCTCAGCTCTGGGACTCCTTCCACAATAATACAGCCCTAAGCCCAACCTGAAAAGCCCCAGGCTAGCAGGCAATGGCCCATCTTCGTGACACACCCTTTTCCACCTCAAACTACCAAATCACCAGTTACTTGAATGTCTGCAGATGACTTAAGAAGAAAAGATCTTCCATCTCAAGAAGAGCTCTACTTAAATCCCATAATGATAGATTAGGTTGACATCATCTACATTTAACATACTCTGGAGGAGTTAACTCACTAAGGGGAAAGTACATATTCAGGCCTTAATATGAACTTCGTTAATGAATTGCTTTCCTTTTGACAGTTCAGTACAGCCTTGAAAGAATGGTCATTTTTGTGGCGTATGAAAGAAGGAAGAAGCCATAATTTTGGAATTTACAGACTTCTGTCAAGGAAAGGCCAGGCAGGGGTATCCCATCCCTAAGTCAGTGTGAGAAAAAGAGGAGACAGGGAGAGAAAGCCACCACATGGAAGGGAAGAACCGAAAGTGTCGCTCTGGTACCAAGGACAGCCTAAAATAAGTCAACTATCATTTCCCAGCCTCCAGCCACCCAAAATGTAGGCAAATGCCTGGGGTCATGGTCTCACTGAAGACAGCAGACACGATGCACTACCTGTGCTCTCTCATGCCCGCCAAACTTTTCACTGCACATGAACATCTTCCCCAGTCCAACAACAGTGATCAAAAAGGGGTCTAATCTGTGTCCAGCAGCCTGACCTGACCCTTCAAGTCACTAACTTTGTGCCTGGAGGGAAGACAGTTTATTCTGTTTTTCAAATTCACACAGGCACCGGCAGAAGGGAGCATTCTGTAAACCTCACCTAGAAGATCAGCCCTAATGAGGCTGGTGTCCTCCCTTCTTTCCCACCCAGAGCCAGCGAGACCAGAGACCAAAACTGCAATAATAAATAACAGCAATATCCAAGCAGTTTAACTGTTTGATGCTGTTCAGACCATGCTTTTTTGTTTTGTTTTGTTTTGTTTAATTTCAACTTTTATTTTAGATACAGGGAGTACATGTGCAGGTGTGTTACATGGGCGTGTTGTTCACAGACAGTAGGCATAGTACCCAATAAGTAGTTTTTCAACCCATTCCTCTCTCCCTCCCTGCCCCCAGTTAGTATCTGGAGGGTCCATTATTCCTTCCCATGCCTGTGTGTCCTCAATGTTTAGCTCCCACTTATAAGTGAGAACATACAATGTTTGCCTTTCTGTTCCTGTGTTAATTCATAGGATTATGGCCCCCATTTCCATCCACGTTACTGCAAACGACATGATTTCATTCTTTTTTAAGGTTGTGCAGTATTCCATGGTGTATATGTAGCACATTGTCTTTACGCAACCCACTACTGATGGACACTTAGGTTAATTCCATGTCTTTGCTATTGTGAATACTGTGGTGATGAACATATGAGTGCATATGTCTTTTTGGTAGAATGATATATATTTCTTTGGATATATACCCAGTAATGGGATTGCTGGGTCAAATGATAGCTCTGTTTTAACTTCTTTGAGAAATTTCCAAACGCTTTCCACAATGGCTCATTTACATTCCCACCAATAGTGTATAAGTGTTTCCCTTTGTCTGAAGCCTTGACAGAATCTGTTGTTTTTTAAGTTTTTAATAATAGTCATTCTGACTGGTGTGAGATGGTGTCTCATTCTGCAAACCATGCTTTGAACACAGTCCACATATGTGAACCTCTGGTCTCCAGTAGACCAGCAATCTGCAAAGCTAGGCAGACCGATTTTCTTTTAAATGGAAACCAATACCAGCTCCCGTGCTTTTGGCTTTCTTACCTTGAGATTGACATTCAACCCAGAAGTTAATCTCTTGTCTGGATTTTTCAGTGTTTTTTCTGAAATCAACACTTTCAATTGTCGTGTGGTAAAACTGAATCACACCATGTAAGTATTCCTGTTCAATTGGAATAAAAGGGAAATAGTGCAATAAAATCAGGCAGCGATGCTCATAGGAGTAAGGCTCTCCTGAGAAGTCTCCCAAGAAAGATGAGCCTGGTCATTTCACATTGCAGGGACAGGCCTGACAGTTTCTAGTCATCCCCAGTCTTAAACTAGCCAGAGACATTTCAGTTTTTATAGTTGCAAATGAGGATATTGAACATTATTCATGAACAGTCTATAGTTAAACAGGACAAGGCTTTCCTGCTGGATATCCTTTTATTTCAACAACCCATCTGTGGAGCCATCACAAGGTAAATATCAAGTAACCTGAGAGACTTGGCTGGAAAATGCTTCTGTTTATAAGAATTAAACCCCCGCTTAATGGTTGCAGAGTTTCTGTTTAGAGTGATGAGAAACAAAGTTTTAGAAATAGATAAGGTGATGGTTACACAACATTGTGAATGTAAGTAATGCTACTGAAATGTACATATAAACATGGTTAAAATGGTAAATTTTATGTGTATCTTACCATAATTAAAAAAAAACTCAGTAATGTTTACAACCCATTGGTTTGTATACTTTTAATGGTGAATTGTTTAATATGTGAATTTACAGCTCATAAAAAAAAAGCTAGTTTTTAAAAATCCAGCATGAAAAATCTTACTTTCATTGCAAGGGAGCACACTTATTTTGGCCAAAGGAGGCCACCGGACCCCTGGCTAGTCCCTCACTAACTAGGCATGTCACGTCTTGACCATTGGTCGTATCCCCCACATTTATTGTTTAGTACATGGCTCCTTCTAGTAATTCGAGAGGAAACTGAAGCCCAGATGGAGACACAGCTTGCTCTAGGTACAAAGCTGTTTAGCCACAGAGACAAGTCCTGTGCCTTTCAGCTCCAAATGCCAAAATGCAGTCTTCTCCACTCCCCCACTACCCCACTCTCGAAAGAGCATAGTGAACACGATTGCATTGCAGGGGTAGCATGATCCTGGTGCAAAAGGAGATTCCACAGAAACGTCTTGGGGGCACCCAACAGATAAGGGAGAGAAAAGCGCAGCAACCAGGCACCTTGACTGAGGAAGACAGTAGGAGAGGATGCCATTACCAAGCCCACACGTGCTCCTAAGTCTCCATTACTCACACAACCCTTTTTCACCCACTCTATTCCACCCACAATGCTCACGTTGAACACTGGGAAGAGAACAAAAGTGTGGGACTGAAAGAAGGAGGTCCTGGACACCTCACCAGTCCACAGCGCATCATCCTGTCAAAGAGGTTGTGTTCTAGATGGCAGGTGAGTAACCCAGCTACTCCCTGATTTTTAAATAGTATGCTACATGGTAGCTTTTGTCACCATTTGTGTGCAACTCACCTGACAGATTGGGAATTCCTGCTCTCCATAAAGCCTGTTGGCAATACTCAGTGTGTAATCAGTCCTGATCCTGTCTAATTTGGAGAGAAGCTGCCCAAAGTAGCAGCTGACCAGCCCACTCTCATTGTTTAAGGACTCAGCCTAAGGAAAGCAGAAACAAAATGTGACCTTCACAGTGTCTATCAGAAAAGCTAAACACAACTAAAGGATGCGTGTTTTGTACAGAAGCAAGATAGAGCTTCTTAGTAAGATGTCAGTTGTCTCTGTCACCATGCAGGGGAAGTGATCTGGGAAGAGCAGAGGAATGGAGGGTGAGAAGCGGTCCCAGTGGAAGATTATGGCTCCCGCATCTATATCAAGATCATCCAGGAAAAACACATCTGGGGAACTCAGCAATGCTCACTATATTTCAGACTGACACACCCGGATTTTCTTTATATTTAAAAGAGGCCAGACACGGTGACTCATGCCTGTAATCCCAGCTACTCTGGAGGCTGAGGCAGGAGAATCGTTTGAACCCAGGAGGCGGAGGTTGCAGTGAGCCGAGATCGTGCCAGTGCACTCCAGCCTGGCGACAGAGCGAGACTCCATCTCAGAAAAAAAAAAAAAAAAAAAGAAAGAAAGACAATCATCTCTCTACCCTCCTTTTAAACTTTCTAAGGTAGGGGGGATGCATACCCTGGAGAATATGTTTCCTTCTCCTGGCATGAGGCACCCAATAAAAGTTTTGTCTGTCAGTGCAGATTTCAGCACAAAATGGAACAAGCAGAGGTGGACGGAGACGGTAGGAATTCCACAGCTGACCCTACTCCTTACCACCTTTATCTTTGACCATGCTCTATGTTGGGGCCCTGTGGCCTGTAGAAGCAGATGAGTGACACAGTGATGATCTAGGTTTCTTTATCATAAGCAGAAGATACCAGATCCTACTCTTTAGGAAACTAGCTCATAGCCAAGGACATCTGAGATCCATACTCAGAAAGGAATCACAGACCACTTGAGGTCATTGCTGTTGATGGTATCCAGAGTCTAATGTCTGGGGATAAGCAACTATCACCTAATATCCTACAGTCAGAGTGAGCAGTTTATAAATAAGAAGGACAAGAGTTTACTATGGTGGCGGTTCACCTGCTGATCCAGAGGCTCTGTCGTTTTCTTCTGCCCCTCCAGAGAGCTGTCAGCCGGCACTTTTTGTTTGTTGCTTTGCAGACAGGGGTCAGGTTCTTTGCTTTCATCCTGGGAAAACTCGTTGAAGTGTAGTACCTGCATGATAACGGGATGGGGTCTTTCAGACAGTATGAACAGAGGGAAGCCTGAATAACTTCAGAAACATGTTCGTAGTGAGACAATGGCAACGATTACATAGTCAAACAAAACAATCAACAACGGCTTAAAGGAAAGTGGGTGCTTCTGTCCTTGGGCTGGGAGGTGGAATGGAGGAGAAGTACCAACTGCTACCCTGGGAGAACATTTATGAATAAATAAAACCAAACTAAAAGAATATAGAGGTATCCACAAGTTAAATGTAGCTATGGAGCATTTCATAGATACCCAATCTGAATTGACTGTAAGTGCAAACTAACACGCCAGATCTTGAATATAGTATAAAAAAAAATAGCTCATTAAAATTTTTATATTGATTATATGTGGATATGATATTTTGCATATACTAGGTTAAAAAAGTATTATTACAATTAGTCCCACCTGTTTCTTTTTACTTTTGTAATGTAGCTACTAAGAATTTTTAAATTACTATGTGGTTCTCATTATGTTTGTGTTGGACAGTGCTGATCTAGAGTTTCACATGAATCAAGGGACTGAGGACAGCAAAAGACAAGTTATCCAGAGCCTGGTAGAAAGGTAGGAGACAGGTGTCACATCCTGCACTGCTCAGACCCAGTTGGTCAGCAGGTGCCCTCAAGTGCCTAAGAAAGAACATCTGGATTCTGCCCTGCAAGATGCAAACTACACTCTAAAGCTAAGTTTTGCTAATGGAATAAGAAAATAATACATCAAATCTAAGTAGATGAATAAAGCAGAATGACCCCAGAAACACATTCTGTCTTAATCCATAAATTCTCCTGCTCCATGTTCAGGGGAAACAGCCTGATTTGTGCATAACCCCTGCACTATGTGCTACATCCGAGGAAGTATAAGGCCAACCATGGGAACTTGTAGTTTATTTGCGGATTTGTTCTTATCACCTTCATTTATTTATTCTAGAAATGTTTATTAGGTGTCTACTCTAAGCCAAGCACTGTTCTAGGACAAAAATCCCTGCTCTCTAGGAGATTATATTCTAGTGGAGGAGGCATACAAAAATCAAGACACATAGTAATTAATTACTGTATGCAGTATGTTAGACAGTGGAAAATGCCACATGAAAAAAGTATCCCTTAGGGGTTGGAGGTCACGATACAGCACTAGATTAGGAGGTCGAAGGAAGCCCCGTAGAGGAGATAAACACTGACCAAAGTCTTGAAGAAGAAAGTGAGCTGAGGTCAGTTACCAGGGGAAAGAGCCATCAGGCAAAGGGACCCAGAGCAAAGGCCCCAAGATAGGATGGGCATGGCTTACCCAAGGAAGCCAGGAGGCCAGTGTGACAGGTACAGTGAGGAGGGATGAAACTGAGAGATGGAGTCACAGGGCTTATCTGGGATTCAGATCTCCAGATCCTTGTGGCACAAATCCTTGTGAGCACAAATCAGGCTGTTTCCCCTGAACCTGGAGCAGGAGAATTTATGGATTAAGACAGAATGTGTTTCTGGGGTCATTCTGCTTTATTCATCTACTTAGAGTTGGTGTTCTACTTTCTTATTCCATTAAGTTAAGTTCAAGTAAGGACTTGAACTTCTATCATAAGTGAAATGAGAAATCCAGGTTTTGGAACAGATGAGAAATATTATCTGGCTCAGGTTTTAAAAGGGTCTCTTGGGCTGCTGTGCAAAGGATAGATTGCCAGTGGGAGCAGGAAAGCCCATCCGGAAGTTGTTGCAGTATCCAGGTGAGAAAAGATGATGGTGGTTCAGACCTCAAGGAGACTGGGAGAAGTGCCTGGATTATGGATATATTTCAAAAGAAAAGCCAACAGAATTTGCTAACAAAGGTGGTATAAAGTGAGAGAGAAAGAGTCCAGGAGGACACCAAGCTGTCTAGCCAATTAACCATTTATGGTGCTTAATAAATATTTATTTAATGAAATGAGTGAGAGAGAAGACATATACACATACTGAAAATTGCTGGCAATATTGGTATTAGTAATTATAGAGTAAAAGAGTGACAGACATGCATACAGAGATAAAGATAGAGATGAATGAGAAAAGCTGCCAGACATGAGGTTGGGGAGCACCCTAAAGAAGGTAGAAGTTTAAGTGAGATTTTAAGAATGGTAGGATCGAAGAGGAAGTAAGGTGGGGAAAATACAAATAACGACTCAGAGACCGGGATGGGTTCTGACCAAGCCCAGGGTGCAATAAGCACCTTGGCTTGCCTGAGTGGGATTAGCATCTGACTTTGAGTGTGGACCCAGAGTTTAGGACCCTGTGTAGCACCCTAGTGGACACGTACCTCATCAATCTGATGTGCACTGTCATTTCTAGCCCCCAAGCGGACCATACCAAGGGCAGCTGAGAGGCTCAGGGGAGAGAAAAATACGTTTTTATGACGATCATCTTTGCTTATCTCTTGAAAAAGATCAAAGCAAAATTTGGTGTTTGCTGCAACAAGAGAGTCCATTGTAAAACCTATAATGATCTAAAACCAAAAAGAAAAAAAAGAGAGGGAGAGAAGGAGAAAATGGTGATTGGAAGAAAATTAGTGAACAAACAATTATTATTTTACATACCTGAAATGCAATCATGCACAATTATTCAGTATGCTATTAAGAACTGGAAAACTAAGGTCATTATCTTCCCTGTATATAAACATTAGTGTTGATATTGATATTTATTGATATTGATATTGATAGACAGGGATCCATTTTCATTTAGTGGTGTGAATTTGTTTCCTGGGGCTGCCATAAGAAATTACCACAGACTGAGTGGTTTAAATAGCAGGAGTTTATTCTCCCATGGTTCTGGGGAACAGATGTCCAAAATCAAGATGTCGGCAGATTTGGTTCATTTCGGGACTCTCAGGGAAAATCTGTTTCACGTCTCTCTCTCAGCTTCTGGTGGTTGCCAGCAAACTTTGACATTCCTTGACTTGTAGACAAATCACTCAAATCTCTGCCTCCATCTTCACATTCTTCTCTTTATCATCCACGTATGTATCCAAATTTCCCTCTTCTTTTAAAGAGAGCAGTCATTGAATTAGGGCCCATCCTAAGCCAGTACAACCTCATCTTAATTTGACTACATCTGCAAAGATCCTATATCCAAACAAGGTCATATTCACAGGTAGAGGGATTAGGACTTTAACTAATATTTTGAGGGGACACAATCCTACCCACTTTGTGGTAGAACTCCCTTTATTCAGGCAAAATGAAGCCAAAGGCTAACATTCTTTATTATCAAGTTAGCAGCCAAGCAAACATCATCCCATCTCATTCCTCTCCACAGGTTGTGGCTGGTTCAGCTTACACCTTTTGCCTGTACTCTCCCCTCATTGCTCTGTGACTGAGGATATGCCCAGCAAATTCCCATGGGTCATGTCCCTTGTTAACATTCTCACCCCCTTTTGACTCATCCCACATGAAAACTACAGAACTTGAGGCACTTCAGTCAATCATTCATATTGTTCAAGAAACAATAAATCTTGAACGATGCTGGGAGTTTTGATGTCACCAAGTGTACTAGTCCATTTTCACACTACTATAAAGAAATACCAGAGACTGGGTCATTTATAAAGGAAAGAATTTTAATTCACTCACAGTTCCGCATGACTGGGGAAACCTCAGGAAACTTATAATCATGGCGTAAGGAGAAGGAGAAGCAAGTGCCTTCTTCATTAGGCGGCAGGAGAGAGAAAGAGAAAAGGAAAAACTGCCACACACTTATAAAACCATCAGATCTCGTGAGAACTCACTCACTATCATGAGAGCAGCATGGGGGAAACTGCCCCCATGATCCAATCACCTCCCACCGGGTCCCTCCCTCAACACGTGGGGATTATGGGGATTCCAATGTGAGATGAGATTTGAGTCAGGACACAGAGCCAAACCGTATCACCAGCTTCAATGTCCTCTTTGACAGTCTAAAACCACAGATAATATAGAACCAAAGTAAGACAGTGACTTCCTAAGAACAGGTATCTTGCCTTCCCCACCCAATCTATTCCAGAGTATCAAGAGAATATGTAGATCTCACCACTGACCTATGCCTCTCAAATGAAATGCCTTTTCTTTTGTCTCTTTGCCTATGGATATTGGACATTTCCAAGATAGAAATGCAAATCCTCTCATTCGTGCTTTTATCATCAGATACAGCACACCATAAGCATGAAGAAATATTGCTGCATTGAATGGAATGGTGTAATTTGTTTTAACACTTTCCCAGCCAGTTAAAATAGACTTTTTTAGCCTATGAAACCTAATTCAAAAAGATAACATTATGTAACTTTTAAAAAAATGTGTCTAATGTGTGCTAAATATCTGACATATGTTAGCTTTAATCCTACAATCTGCAAGGTAAATGTGATCATTCCCTCTTTTTCAGAAAAGAAAACTGCAGAATCAAACAGCACGTATATTTGGCCCAAAACTAACTAGTGCTCTTTCTACCGTATCTACCATTTCTAACTTGCCCCTCAACTGATGATAGATGATCAAACACAAGCCTGCTGTGTGGGTACTTTCCTGCATTATTCAGCTTATAGTCCATTTTATTCTTACATTTTATTTCTGCCAAGTTTGTACCTGACTCACAGTTCTCATCCTGCATCTGTGAACTGGGTTTGAGACATACTTTGTATTTTCAAATGAATTTCAGGGTAATCAGAGACTACCAGAGTGCTTTCAGGAGCATTATGCCTTAATTGGTGGGTGTTTTTTGAGTAATGGATGTCCTGGATGTGTCTGAAAATTCAGTAACGCTTCACACCTCAGAAAGCTACCTTTGCATATATTGGTAAACATCTTGATGTCCAGCATATTTTCTCTACACATGGCTCACATTACCCATATAGTAACAAGTCTACTAACAAAGAAAAGAAAACCAACAAACTAAAGATGGTCTGAGTTGGGGGGATTTCACAGGCTTTTGATTAATGATAAAATTTTGTGTGAAACGTAGTCTAATATTTTTTAAAACCTTTGTTGTATAACTTAGGTTGATATTTGATCAAAATCTTCAGCATCAAAGGAGGAGAAGGTAAAGGGCATTCTGGCCATTTGGTCACCGCTATTAAAAGAAGACTACAGCCTGACTATATTGAAGGAAAAGAAGCGATTGGATAGAAAGACTGAATGATTCCAACCTGGCTCTTCAAATATTCCAGGTAATCACTTAGCTTCACTCCTGCTGTCTTCTAACATGAGCACTCCCAGAACTGAATGATCAGAGTCTTGCCTGCTTTAGAAAGGACATGACTACTCATGCAGGCCAACTCCCTACTTCTCAAGATAAAAATACTGAGGTCAGATGAGGTGAAGTGACTTGCAACAGTCATGCAGCTGTCCAGAAGCAAAGCAAGGCTAAGACCTCCTCATGCCTAAGGCTGCTTCCTCCTAGATCACACAGTTTTTCACATTCCATTCCATTCTAATTCCGGCACTACACTGACTCACTCTGTGGGCTACAGAACTCTCCAAAACTCTCTCTGCCCATTTCTGCATCAAGCTTCTATAAACTTTGTGAACTACTTTCCAGGAGTACTGCGATGCTCTCACCCCAGCAACAATTCCCTTTTCTGAGTGTTACCTGGTTCTAAGCTTTCATTACAGTTGTGTGCAGCTTTAATGCTGCCTCGCCTTCCAAGGGAGTTGAGAGAACAATAGTAACAGAAAACAACCAAAAAAAAAAAAAAAAAAAAAACCAGCTGGACAGTTGCTGTTAAAGTTTAATGACTATATATAAGCACTTGCAATAGGAAGATTTTTCCTGGCTTTACATACAAGTCTGAAACATAGCAAACAATGAACATTTAACGACTTGATTAAAATATCATCTGCTAACCACCTTCTGAAGGGTTGTTTGGTTTTGGGGGGCGTTGGGAGGAGTCAGTTTTTTAAATTAGAAACTGCCTAAATCTGACACCAACCTAATTATGAAGTTCTCCCACTGGGTTAGTCACTCTAAATAAAAGGATGAACTGAACAAGACACAATCTCTGCCTTCGAGAAATCTATGACCTAACAGAGCAGATAATGCATTCGCAGGTTCAGGAGTAGAGTTTAAGAAGCATAGAAGAGTAAGATATTAATTTATAAAATGAAATAGAAAAGAAAAACGAGTATTTTGTAGGAAGCACTCCTTAAGATTTGATTATTCTAATAACACAGATTCAAATATGCAATTTTAAAATATGACACTTTAAAAAATAGTTTTAAGCTTTTAACATTGCTTTTATTTATTAAAAATAAGCTTAGACTCTTAGTAAAAGTCATGTTATGCTATGTTGTTGCAATTAAAAAGAAAAGAGAAAGAAATTTAAGGTTAGTTGTTTTGTCCTCATCAAAAATCCCTTTGAAATCAGCCTAATTATTCCATGGAAGTGAGTTTATGGTCTTTATGAATAAACATAGAAATTGACCCTCCTGGTCTTAAAGCTTGAAACTCACATTTGTCTTATCTGAATTCCTTCCTCAGGAAACCCATCGGCAGGCCTCCCAGAGAGTATCAAGCAACTGAAATTTACATCATGCCATGCAGAGAGATGGCAGAACCCTCACTCATCTTGATTGCTTTCTTTCCGCTCCCTAATTCTTATTTTCCCATATGTAGCTACGTCTCTTCCCCACTATATAAACCTCCCATTTTAGTAAGTTGAGGGAGAATGATTTGAGATTTATCCCCCATCCCTTTGGCTGACATCATCTGATTAAAGCCTTCTTCCCTGGCAACACTTGTCTCAGTGATTGCCTGTCTGTGCGGTGAGCAATAGGACATAGACCAAACCCCTGGCATTTCAATAATGCCTTTTACATGGACACTAATGTGAAAACAGTAATGACTAAATCACAAATTCTGAATCAATTGGATTCAAAATAGGACCCATTTAGCAAGAAATAGAAAAGGCAGAGATCTAAATATTATAATACTAAAATGTAATTGTAAGAGAGATTTCTCAAAGGTATGTAGCAAAATCACCTTGAGAATTTTTTTAAAATATGTACAAATATGTTCATAGCAACACTTTCATAATAGCCAAAACTCAGGAACAACGCAATGTCCATCATCAGCAGAATAAACAAATAGCATGGATCTCACATCACATCACATCATAACATAACGTTGAGTAAAAGAAATCATACATGCAGCCTGGCCAACATGGTGAAACTCTGTTTCTACTAAAAATACAAAATTAGCCGGGCATGGTGGCGCATGCCTGTAATCTCAGCTACTTGGGAGGCTGAGGCAGGAGAATCACTTCAACCTGGGAGGCAAAGGTTGCAATGAGCCAAAATCATGCCATTGCACTCCAGCCTGGGCAACGAGCAAAATTCCATCTCAAAAAAGAAAAAAAAAAAAAGAAAAAGAAATCATACATGAAAACTTTCATACTGTATGATTCCATTTACATAAAGTTCCAAAACTGGCAAAACTAATCTGCAGTTTTAGAGGTCAAGAGAGTGGCTACCCTTAGGAATGGGTGGGGAGAACTGTGGTTAGCCACAGGTAGGGACAGCAGCAGACTAGTAAACTATCCCTCAAAACACAAAAGTCAACAAAAATCCATGATTCACAATGTTTGCTGATTTCTATGGTGTAAATACCCCATTAAGGTTAATTTCAATTTGCCAACAAAACATCATTGTACCCAGAGTTGGGAAAAGATGCACAGAAGTAAACTAGGCATGAAGGAGACTTCTAGGAAGCTGGTACTGGTTCCTTTTTCAATTGGAGTGTTGGTTACACATTAAAGTTACACTTATTTCTTATGTACTTATGTATTAATGTGTGGGGGGATGTTCATGTAGGCATATATGTATAAAGTTTAATTTTAAAATGTATTGTAGATGTATTACTAAACATGGCAGTT